TATTCCACGCGGACGGTGTCGCAGGCGAAAGCTAGCAAGTTCTAAACCTGCGATTGTGCTGGTTTTGCATGTACAAATTTTGAATCATCAATATGCGTTCATTTTAACATAATGTAAAGTGACAATTTAGTACATTAATGGTTCTTTCTCTAGTCCTTTTCTAAATAATCAAAGTCTCATAAGTACAGACTTGATTAAATTTCTGATATAAAAACACTAATACGGTCCTGTATCTCAGCACTGAAAAACATTTATTATATTTCCACGAGGAATATAAAAAAAACGTTGTTTGCACTCTGATATTTCTAACACAATATTTGTATAACTTCTTTATACCGATTTTATTGCGTAAACGTGTTATTATTAAGCATGTTAGAAAGATAATTTATTACACGTTTCTACAAATGATATGAATAATTCGTTTGCTTTATTAGATGTGTTATTACTGAATCTGTTATAATTTTCTCTATCTTGTTAATCTTATTAACGCTGAACAAAAAAAACAGCGCATATATTTTCTTTAATTATGTTACTTTAACTAATAATTGTGCGGTTTTTTACTTACCGGTAATTGAGTAAATAACGATTTTACGTAACAAATAGTTTTAATTTATTTTATCATTTTTAACCAGCTGTTGCTCGCGACATCGCCCGCCAGATATTAAAAAATAGCCTATGTTACTCACTGATAACGTAGCTTTTTAATGGTGAAAGAATTTTTGAAATCGCCAAAGTAGTTTTTGAGTTATTTCAATACAAAAAGTAAAAATCTTTCCTCTTTATAATATTAGTATGGAAGTATAAAACAGTAGAATTATAAAAAAAAAAACATCCAGACGAATTGAGTACCTCCTTCTTTTGGTAAGTCGGTCAAAAAATCGTAGTAAAATAACGTTGAAAAAAAATATGATACGCATATAGAATTAAGAGAGAATAATATCATGCTATTCTGTTATATTAGAACTTAATATGTTATTTGTATTAATCGAGTGAGCCAAAAACAGCGCCCTGAGGGACTGCGATACAGTTCACTCACCGCCCACGTTAATATACTTTAGCTTCTATTACCTTCTCGAATAGATTTGCACTATGATTAACTTTTACGATGTTATACTTTGTGTAGTATACTGAAATTCTAGTCAAATTTAGTCAATTTAGTCATTTAATATTTTTTTTAAACAAAACTGGGATATTAAAATAGAAAAACTGTAGAGTAGCAATAAAAAAACTGTAAGATTTTTGAAAGAGGAAAAAATTTATAAATTTTTTTTTATATGAGAAGGGGCAAACGAGCGGCGGGAACACAAAGGTGGTCAACGACGCCCATGGACATCCGCAACACCAGAGGAACTACAGATGCGTTGCCGGCCTTTGAGGAAATTGTAGGCTCGCTTCTTGAAGGACCCTAAGTCGTATTGGTTTGGGAATACCGCCGAGGACAGACCGTTCCACAACGCGGCTGTGCGGGGCAGAAAGTTCCGCGAAAACCGCACGGTTGTGGAATGCCAGCCATCAACATGGTGAGGATGGTACCTGGCGATAAATAGAAGGTTCCCATTTCCACCCGCACCAAACGTCCCTTTCCCACAAATATGTGGGAACGAGAGCGCGGCACCAAGCCGCCCAACAAAAAAATAAGTATACTAAAATTTCATGCCAAGACAGCATAAGTTTAAATTTCTATCAACATTGTAATTTTCTTATATATTTTGCAAAAATAAAAGAAATAAACAGTATAACGCATAACCATGGACAATCACAAGAAATTACAGACAAATAAAAAATTCATTAAATCTAGTGAAAATATGATTTAATACATACAAATATCATAAAATACGAATAATGGCCGGTTTTAGGATTATTCCCAACTGTCACCCCGCTCTGTCCCCACGTGAGAATAGAAAGTTTCATCCGTCCTACCTTTTAGTCTCAGTATCACCAATAAGGTGACAGGTGGAACCGTTATGAAATAAAATAAGTTCCAACTCTCCCTTGGTCGCAAAAGGTGGAACGGATAAAACGTTTATACTGGTCTGTCCCCACTTGAGAATTAAAAGTTTCATCCGTCCCACCTTTTAGTCCCACTATTATCAATAAGATGACAGATGGAACCGTTACGAAATAAAATAAATTTTAACTTTCGCAGTCGCAAAAGGTTGGACGAATGAAGCTTTTTATTCTCGTCTGTCTCCACGTGGGGACAGGGCGGGGTGACGGTTGGTAATAATCCAGTGTTAATTGTTCCATAACATCATGAAATGCGTTTCCTAATTATAAAACTTGAGTTTTACTCCTTCGAAATTAAATTCAACCTAACACTGATGTATTTGTAGGTAATGGTAAAATAGAAACTTCATCAATATGTTGCTATGGCAAAAAAAAAGACCCCAAATTTCGTCGCGCGAATTTGAGCTAAACTATTTAACTACGTCGTAGTCTTTGACTTTAAAAATAAAAAAAAAATGGGACCCACCTGCAAGCATTACCATTCGGATACAAAAAGATCTATCAAAATCGGTCCACTAGCGGCGGGGTTATGCCGTAACACACATAAAAAATAAAAAGGAATTATTGCGGTTAATTTTCCTATAAGTTTACCGAACTTTGTTGTTTATAGTTCTGAATCACCTGGGGTTTTATAAATGTGTTATTAGGTCATGTAAACCATAAAGGGAGAAGTCGTAAAACTTTTAAATAACACAGTAAAGGAGTCACGTCTCGTGAAGTTAAACGTGTCTTAAAAGCATCAAGTCGTTACTTAGAGTTCTTTAAGACTTGGCCGAGCTATGTCTAATGCTTTTAAAGTAAGCTAAGTAAACTTGTTGTTAAACTCTACAACAAATTTTAAACTCAAGGCACTTTCTCGAGGTCGTAATCTGATTATAAATGTGGAAATTATTCATTTTTACATTGTGCATTGCAAAAACAAAAATTAATTCAGATATAAAGGCTAGTGGTATAATATTAGTGACTTTCAACCTGTTTCAGGTCTAAGTACTACCCTTAGAGGTCCACAAAACCGGTAGAAATTTGAACAGGGTTTTTGAGATAACATTTGTTAATATCTGAAGTACGTTCTGTGCTTACCGTGTTAAAGAACAGAAAGGTGACATAATGCATAAATATATCATAAAAATACTAGTAAAAGTGTAATTCCATAAAGTAAACATCCAAATAATTTCCTGTAGGAAAGAAAACATCTCATATCAGTAAGTATAATAGATTTAAGTAAACACTCTAACGTATTTACTGTATGGGAACTCACAAATGGCAATGCTTATTGATTGTGAGTGCTTCGGGATAGAGGGAAGCACTTACGCTCCCTTTTTGTAGTTTATTAATGGCGGTAATAAAACTGAAATTCGGTTATTGCAAATCGAATAGCAAGGAACATTTTTCAATAATTTTCAGGAGATAAATCGATGCTATTTGAATAAGTGCGGGGTAAACCCAAGGGATGTTGAGTCGCTTTTATTCTAAAACTAGCTGCTGCCCGCGACTTCCTCCATGCAATATTAAGATAAAAAAGTAGTATATTTACCCTTCAGTGAAAATTCGGTCGAAATCGAGATTTGCGGCCAGACAGAAAGACAGGCAAAAAATTTTTGAATGTGATTTTGTTTATCAGCAACGCAAATATCTTTCCGAAATCTGGAAATTTTCTTTTGATATTACAGACACTACAAGTTTTATTATATCGTCATATTACCAGCTCACTATACGTCCCCACCGAGGGGCTTGGAGCCTTTTATTATATGTATAGACGTTAATCTAAAAAAAAAATAAAAAAAACAAAAAGGGATATTTAAATTAATTTTTAATTCACGGATCCCAATTAAAAGTACCTAATAATAATATTTATTTTGTACGACCTGTCGCCTGCGTTTTTTTTAATTCTGCATATTGCGATGTGTTCTTTCAGACTATGTTGTATATATATGCCAAATGTAATAAAGACCCATTCAGTTCTGAAGATACCTTCTAACAAACATCGCATTTATAATTTTAGTAAGAAGTAAGACATCGTGTACATAAATAGATTTTCATAATAAATCAGAGCTCAAAGGAAAATGCATTTAATAATAAATAAATTCAGATCGTTGTGATGTGATTTATATTTTTATTTAACTTTTTCCATAAGACTTTGTCCTTTGCGAAGAGCCCTCGGGGATCGTAACAACATTTCAATAGCCCTTGAGGCTTGTGTAGAGTTGACAACATCGTTACAAGGCCGAAGACAATTCGTCCTTGCAAGTGTAACGCTTTTATTATCGTTATATTCTTTAACTAGCTGTCGCCAGCGAATCCGTCTGCGCGGAATTTAAAAAAACATAATTAGATGTTTGTATTCTTCTAGACCATATTCTTCATCTGTACCTTTCAGCGACATACTTTAATCCGTAATAGAGATACGTCGTGTTATTAAGAAATAGGTATCGCCCCGGAGTAGCGGCGCAACACTAGGTTATTGGCATACAAGTCCCATCCCTATGACATCTGTCAATGTCATTAAGAATGATTAAGGATAAGCGCGCCAATACTGACAGAAATAGGTAGGATATACGTTGTTATGATTTTATTATTATTGTATGAAAGTAGAAACAAACATCCATCCATAAACTTTCGCAATATAAAATTAGTAAGAGATCTATTAGTATTATGTAACAGATCTATTAGTATGTTTTGATAGATTTTATTTAAGTTAATATGCGATAGAATGATAATTTGATGAAGTTTGCAATTTAAAAGTGTAAAAAACGCAGTCTTATCTCTGGTAATTAACAAGAAAAAGATTTTTCATTCGTACCCTTGAATGCTCGTGTTCTCCCTGGCCGAGGAGTTACATTGACCTAATTTCATTTGTTGTGACTATTATAGTAGATTTTTCTTTAATATTTTTTTCCCGACAAGCAAACATTTTGAAAAAAAAAAATAATGACACAACAATGTTTATTAAGTTTCACAATGATAGTCAAAATAGTTCCCCTTAACAAGAATTCTTAATTATCGACAATAATAAGTTGTTCCTGGTCTGATGACGTTTGGTCTGAGGATTCTTCAGACGTCTTCTCTGTGATCCAATTCTTAAAGGAGTAGACACGTGTGTAGACGTCAGGATATCCCCTGGCGCACGGCATGCCCCAGGACACGATGCCCACCACTTCACCGCCAGATACCAGAGGACCACCGGAATCACCCTAGAAGATTAAGATTCAAATAAAATCCATCATAGTTCTACAACTCAAGCAGACGTGCTGACGGCAGCGACAGTAAACTAGAGTTTGTTGATGAGGAACTGCTCCTTGCTTGAGTTTTGAGTGCATTGGACTCTATCTCAGTTTAAAAAACTCATAAATTTCACATACAATTATCTCATACGTCACTTACGTGGCAAGCGCCTTCTCCTCTCTTTGTTAATGAGCAAATCTGAGTGTTATACACGGGATTAATATTACTATATATCCTCTGACATTCCTCCACACTCAGGGACACCAGGTTGATCATTTGCAGCTGAACTGGTAACACTCCTGGATACTGAAAGAACGTAGAAAATGATTAGAAGAGACCAACATCACCAAGAATAGTTTAAGCACTGCATGATCGAACGACAATGATAATGCAAGGTTGGATCTAGCTTTGGCGCCAGGGGGGGTCACATAGTCGTGGTCAAAAGCTTGACTAAATATGCAAATATGTTTTGTCAAGCTCTTAACTGACCAGCTCAGGGCGGCCCATAATCCCCATGACCCCCCCTGGATCCGCCGTTGGA